CTGCGGAGGGAACAGAAAGGGGGTAGTGAGAAGCGTGAATGATTATGTGACGAGGATAAAGGGAAGATTATCATGCTGGGAAGTGAAGAGAAATTGACGATAATGATGACAAAGGGGAAATCATAATAACACCGGAAGAGGCAAAGGAACCTAGCGACGGGGGCCAGAACGTAGTCGTCGACGGGGCCCAGGAACACGTCTGCGGAGGGAACAGAAAGAGGGAGTGAGAAGCGTGAATGATTATGTGACGAGGATAAAGGAAAGATTATCATGCTGGGAAGTGAAGAGAAATTGACGATAATGATGACAAAGGGAAAATCATAATAACACCGGAAGAGGCAAAGGAACCTAGCGACGGGGGCCAGAACGTAGTCGTCGACGGGGCCCAGGAACACGTCTGCGAAGGGAACAGAAAGAGGCTAGTGAGAAGCGTGAATGATCATGTGACGAGGATAAAGGATGGAGGGAGAAGAGAGAACGGTGATGATGTAGGGAAATCGGTGATAATGATAATAAGGGTAATATATAAAATACTGAGGAGGAAAGGAAAGAGGGTAGTGAGAAGCGTGAATGATTATGTGACGAGGATAAAGGGGAAAGTTATAATGCTGAGGAGGGAAGAAAAGAAGGAGGGAGAAGAGAGAACGATGATGAAGTAGGGAAATTGGTGATAATGATAATAAGGGGAATATATATATAATGCTGAGGAGGAAAGAGAAGAGGGAGTGAGAAGCGAGAATGATATTGACGAGGATAAAGGGAAAATTATAATGCTGAGGATGAAAGAGAAGAGAGAATGATAATGATGATATAGAGAAATTGGCGATAATGATGACAAAGGGAAAATCATAATAATACCGGAAGAGGCAAAGGAACCAAGCGACGGGGCCCAAGAACACGCCTACGAAGGGAAGAGAAGAGGGAGTGAGACGAGAGAATAATGATGATGATGATAAATCGACAATTATAATAATACTGAAAGAGACAGAGAGCCAGGACCTAATCGTCGACCGAGCCTACGAACACGTCTGCGAAAGGAACAGGAAAAGGAGTGATAAACGAGGATGATGAAGAGGAAATGAGGATAGTAAAGGCTGGTTCTGGGAAGGCGAGGAGACCTAGCAACAGAGGACAAGAACAATTATGTAGAGGGAATGGCGCCGGGAAATGGCATGACTTCGGATTTTCGAGGAGGAGGAAGGGGAGGAAGAGGAGGAGGAAGGGAAGGAAGAGGAGGAGAAGGAGGATGCTGAGAAGAGGGATGAAGAGGGGGAAGAGGAGGAGGAAGGGAAGGAAGAGGAGGAGAAGGGGGATGTTGAGAAGAGGGATGGAGAGGGGGAAGAGTGATGACATAGAGAAATTGGCGATAATGAGGACAAAGGGAAAATCATAATAACACCGGAAGAGGCAAAGGAACTTAGCGACGGGGCCCAAGAACACGTCTACGAAGGGAAGAGAAGAGGGAGTGAGACGAGAGAATAATGATGATGATGATAAATCGACAATTATAATAATACTGAAAGAGACAGAGAGCCAGGACCTAATCGTCGACCGAGCCTACGAACACGTCTGCGAAAGGAACAGGAAAAGGAGTGATAAACGAGGATGATGAAGAGGAAATGAGGATAGTAAAGGCTGGTTCTGGGAAGGCGAGGAGACCTAGCAACAGAGGACAAGAACAATTATGTAGAGGGAATGGCGCCGGGAAATGGCATGACTTCGGATTTTCGAGGAGGAGGAAGGGGAGGAGGAGGAGGAGGAAGGGAAGGAAGAGGAGGAGAAGGGGGATGCTGAGAAGAGGGATGGAGAGGGGAAAGAGGAGGAGGAAGGGAAGGAAGAGGAGGAGAAGGGGGATGCTGAGAAGAGGGATGAAGACGGGGAAGAGGAAGAGGAGAGGGAAGAGGGGTATCAGAAGAGGAGAAGGATGATGATGAAGAGAATGGAGAAGAAGAAGAAGAAGAAGAAGAAAAAAAAGCAGGAGGAGAAGAAGAAGAAGAAAAAAAAAGGAAATAGAAAAGGAGAAGAGTAAAAGATGGAGTAGAAACAGGAGAAGAACGAAGAGAAGGGGAAGGAAGTCTATGAAATAAACAGGCCATATGTTTCCCAGTCACGCGTCGCTAACGTAGCTCGTCAAAACGTTGAAATAAGAAGATTTTTTCATTTTCTATTTACTTATTTTTTCTGGAGGGGGGGGGGCAGAGAGTAGGAACAGAAAAAAAGAGACAAAATCGGAAAAAGGAAAGAGATGGAACGTTCGAGACACAAGAGAGAGAGATAGAGAGAGATTTTATATCTGAAGGGAAGGGGGAGAAAGAAAGAAAATAAAAAGAAAAAGACACAGAGAGAAGGAAAGAGGGAACGTCCGAAACAGAGATACAGAGAAAGAGAGAGAGAAGGAAAAGACAGATTACAATTCTCAAAAGGCTAAGGAAGGGAAATATAAGACAAGAAATATGAAGGAACTATTACGTAAGAGAAAAGAGTTGTGGAAAGAGTAAAAGAAGCTTTCAGTCTTAAGCTTCCGTCGTAAATCTGATTATACACCAGATTTGCTTCTGACTGAGATATATATATATATATATATATATATATATATATATATATATATATATATATATATATATATATATATATATATATATATATATATATATATATATATATATATATATATATATATATATATATATATATAATATATATATATATATATATATATATATATATATATATATATATATATATATATATATATATATATATATAACATTTCTCTACAATTTCAGTATACAAACCCTCTGATGCCTCTGGGACAAAGGCCGACAACAGGAAACATAGCCCCAAGTAGTTTGTCAAACACTGCATCGGTGATGGCACAGAAGATATGTATATATATAAGTGTATAGATCTATATCTATATCTATATCTGTGTGTGTGTGTCTGTATGTGTGTGTGTGTGAGTATATATATATATATATATATATATATATATATATATATATATATATATATATATATATATATATTTATATATATATAATATAACATATACCTGTATGTATAAGTATGTATATATATGTATATGTATGTATATATATGTATATGTATGTACATATATGTATATATATATATATATATATATATATATATATATATATATATATATATATATATGTATACATATATGTGAAATTTGACTTGGCACAGAATTCCTCAAAGGTCCCGCAGAGAGCCCGAGAGCCGCACTCAACCGACTTTGTTTTGCAAATAGCTGAGCGGCAAATGAGGCCAGTCGGGAGGCCAAAGCATGCATTTTGCACAACATTTGAGTTTCGGCCGATGGAGAGCGCAGCCTCGGCGGGGGAAGAGGGGGAGGTGGGGGGAAAAAAGTGGGGGGGGAGGGGGAAGAGGGGGAAGTGAGGGAAAAAAAACGGGGGAAGAGAGGGAAAAAACGGGGGGGTGAGGGGAGGGAGAGGGGGAGGGAGAGAAGTGGGGGAGGGGGAGGGGGGAGGGAGAGAAGTGGGGGAGGGGGAGGGGGGAGGGAGAGAAGCGGGGGGAGGGGGGAGGGAGAGAAGCGGGGGAGGGGGAAAGGGAGGGAGAGAAGCGGGGAGGGGGGAAGGGAGGGAGAGAAACGGGGAGAGGAGAGGGGGGGAGAGAAGCGTGGAGGGGGGAGGGGGGAGGGAGAGAAGCGGGGAGGGGAGGGGGGAGAGGAGAGGGAGAGAAGCGAGGAGGGGAGGGGGGAGAGGAGAGGGAGAGAAGCGGGGAGGGGGGAGGGAGAGAAGCAGGGGGGAGGGTGGAGGGAGAGAAACGGGGAAGGGGGAAGGGAGGGAGAGAAACGGGGAGAAGGGAGGGGGAAGGGAGAGAAGCGGGGGGGGGGGAGGGAGAGGGAGAGAAGCGGGGGGAAGTGGGAAAAGCGATGGAAAGCGAGGGGAAGCGGTGGGGGGGGGGGGGCGGGAAGCGTTAAAAGCTGTGGACGAAGTAGGGAAATTGTTGGAAAACGAGGGGAAGCGGGATGAACCGGAGGAAAGTGAGGGGAAGCAAGAGAAGTTGGGGGGGGGGGGGAATCGGAGAAAGTGGAGGAAGTAAGGGAAAGCGAGAAGAAGCGAGAGAAAGCGGGGATAAGCGAGAGGAAGCGAGAGGAAGCGGGGGAAAGCGAGAGGAAACGAGGGAAAGCGAGATGAAGCGGGGGAAAGCGAGAGGAAGCGAGAGGAAGCAAGAGGAAGCGGGGGAAAGCGAGAGTAAACGGGGGAAAGCGAGAAGAAGCGAGAGGAAGCGAGAGAGAAGCGGGTGAAGCGGGGAAATCAGTGGAGCAGAAGCCCGCTTTGTCCCGATAAAGGACCCTTGCCGGCCCCGTTCCCCGCACTTGCACTCTCTACACCAACGCGCCTAACACGATTTATGACGTGATAACTCAGTTGCAATAGCTCAACAACTGTACGCGTTCACGTGCAAGTTGCAGCAGTAATTCCTGTAAGCCGACTCGGAAGGCTTACATTGCCGCCTGTGAGGTTTTAATGCAAGCAAAAAGGAAAAGAAAAAAAGAATAAAAAGGCTTAACTACAACAAAGAACAATTACTGCTTGCACTGCTTGCAACGAAGTCACTGGCGGAAACATTGCAGAATAAGCCTTCTATTTCTCTTTGGGTGTCTATGGCCACCTGTTGTTTAAGCCAACTAGTGTCATCGCCACGCATTTTATTACCACCACCTGGCGCAGTTACCACCTGTTGATTTGACTTAATGGAATGAGTGCAGCTGGTTTATTTCTCGGTTCTCGGATTTTAATGACGTTCCTCCCTTCATTTTACGGCCGATGAAAACGAAGGAAGGATAAAAAAGAAAGATCAAAATAACGTATTTACTCATGGCTTGCTTTGTTATCGAAATCCCCTAACGTACTGGCGAATTTTCCTCATCTTTCTTCCCTTTTCTTCTCTCTCTACCACCCGAAGGCACACATGTAAATCACGCTGACAAATTGACCGAATCAAACCGCGGT